ATGCATGCTTCACGCTAAAGTTGAACCAGATTCAACTTCTGCGTCAACGTAACGTCAGGACTAGCGTCATATTGTAAATCCGGCTATAGTCTTTTGATCCTAATGTATGTTGTCTTCAAAATTTCAGATACGATGAGGGTGGGTGGAGCCCACACGCCCATAAATATGGAGAAAAGCACATTTTAAAATAGCAAATCCTCTTATTTATGGAGAAGTGCAACAGGTACAGACACAAAATATCAACTAATGTATGTATCTTAATGTAGTGAACGACATTTCGGATACGGTGAGGGTGGGTGGAGTCCACACGCCCATAAATAAGGACGAAAGCGGTTTTAAAGGAACAAATCCTCTTATTTATGGAGAAGTGCAACAGGTACAGACACAAAATATCGACAAATGTATGTATCTTAATGTAGGGAACGACATTTCGGATACGGTGAGGGTGGGTGGAGTCCACACGCCCATAAATAAGGACGAAAGCGGTTTTAAAGAAACAAATCCTCTTATTTATGGAGAAGTGCAACAGGTACAGACACAAAATATCAACAAATGTATGTATCTTAATGTAGGGAACGACATTTCGGATACAGTGAGGGTGGGTGGAGTCCACACGCCCATAAATAAGGACGAAAGCGGTTTTAAAGAAACAAATCCTCTTATTTATGGAGAATTGCAACAGGTACAGACACAAAATATCGACTAATGTATGTATCTTAATGTAGGGAACGACATTTCGGATACAGTGAGAGTGGGTGGAGTCCACACGCCCATAAATAAGGACGAAAGCAGTTTTAAAGTGACAAATCCTCTTATTTATGGAGAAGTGCAACAGGTACAGACACAAAATATCGACAAATGTATGTATCTTAATGTAGGGAACGACATTTCGGATACGGTGAGGGTGGGTGGAGTCCACACGCCCATAAATAAGGACGAAAGCGGTTTTAAAGAAACAAATCCTCTTATTTATGGAGAAGTGCAACAGGTACAGACACAAAATATCAACAAATGTATGTATCTTAATGTAGGGAACGACATTTCGGATACGGTGAGAGTGGGTGGAGTCCACACGCCCATAAATTAGGACGAAAGCAGTTTTAAAGTGACAAATCCTCTTATTTATGGAGAATTGCAACAGGTACAGACACAAAATATCGACAAATGTATGTATCTTAATGTAGGGAACGACATTTCGGATACGGTGAGAGTGGGTGGAGTCCACACGCCCATAAATAAGGACGAAAGCAGTTTTAAAGTGACAAATCCTCTTATTTATGGAGAAGTGCAACAGGTACAGACACAAAATATCGACAAATGTATGTATCTTAATGTAGTGAACGACATTTCGGATACGGTGAGAGTGGGTGGAGTCCACACGCCCATAAATAAGGACGAAAGCGGTTTTAAAGAAACAAATCCTCTTATTTATGGAGAAGTGCAACAGGTACAGACACAAAATATCGACTAATGTATGTATCTTAATGTAGGGAACGACATTTCGGATACGGTGAGAGTGGGTGGAGTCCACACGCCCATAAATTAGGACGAAAGCAGTTTTAAAGTGACAAATCCTCTTATTTATGGAGAATTGCAACAGGTACAGACACAAAATATCGACTAATGTATGTATCTTAATGTAGTGAACGACATTTCGGATACGGTGAGAGTGGGTGGAGTCCACACGCCCATAAATAAGGACGAAAGCGGTTTTAAAGAAACAAATCCTCTTATTTATGGAGAAGTGCAACAGGTACAGACACAAAATATCGACTAATGTATGTATCTTAATGTAGTGAACGACATTTCGGATACGGTGAGAGTGGGTGGAGTCCACACGCCCATAAATAAGGACGAAAGCAGTTTTAAAGTGACAAATCCTCTTATTTATGGAGAAGTGCAACAGGTACAGACACAAAATATCAACTAATGTATGTATCTTAATGTAGTGAACGACATTTCGGATACGGTGAGAGTGGGTGGAGTCCACACGCCCATAAATAAGGACGAAAGCGGTTTTAAAGAAACAAATCCTCTTATTTATGGAGAAGTGCAACAGGTACAGACACAAAATATCGACTAATGTATGTATCTTAATGTAGGGAACGACATTTCGGATACGATGAGGGTGGATGGAGTCCACACGCCCATAAATATGGAGAAAAGCACATTTTAAAGGAACGAATCCTCTTATTTATGGAGAAGTGCAACAGGTACAGACACAAAATATCAACTAATGTATGTATCTTAATGTAGTGAACGACATTTCGGATACGATGAGGGTGGGTAGAGTCCACACGCCCATAAATAAGGACAAAAGCGGTTTTAATCCTTATGGACATCCTGATGCTGTAAAGAGTCTGACAAAACAGATCCTATTGGACTATTCTACTAGTTTCAGA